CCGTGTTGTCCCTTTGGATGCTCTTTCTGCAGATTGTAGCTGTTCAGCTGTTTATGTATTTTGCCCCCTCCCCTCTCCATCCCCCCCACCCTACAAGAGGGGAGTATTGCCAAATCTCGTAGAATTAGGGTTGAAAAGAAGCATGCTGAATTTGTACGGAGAGAGCTCAGGCTGCCAGCCGCTCGTTTGCCATGCCTCCAGCTCTGTCCCGTGCCAAAACGTCGTGCCCGCTAGAGAGAGGCAAGAAAACCCGGTGAAAGGGCTGCGGCAGACGCTGCACAGTGCATCATGTACCTCTGGGTGCTGGCGGGGACGGGGTGGGGAGGGGAGGGGACAGGCTTTCCCAGGCGGGCGGGAGGGTGCGCTTGCCAGAATGTCCCCACCCAAAGGAACGTGCACTGGCTGTGTCTAACTCCCCACGGGTGCGAGCTGACGTGGGCTTTCGCTAGCACACCCGCCCGCTCCCCCCTTTGGAAATCTGGCCCTCAGAGTCTAATACATCATTGTTCTGCTTATAAATGTACTAAGTGTTGAGAATGTTTTGGTTTTTTCCTTAATTATAATTGTAATTGGCTTTTCCCCTTCTCTCTTGTTTATTTTTTTTCCCAACGCTGTCTTGCTTTGCACTGTGATTGCATGCTGCGCCCCGATGTGTCCTTCATGACGATGTCACATGGCTTGTTGCTGTGATTCCTGCCACGCCCCCAAATCCACCACATGTTGCCATGGTTACATTAAAAAAAAACACCAAAAAAAACCAAAAAAAATATATACGCTCCACCCTCCCGTATGTCGCTTCCATGGTTCCCTTCTGAAAGTGCCCATGATGCACGGTGCTACGCCCACCACTGTGTCTGCAGCAACAACTCCTGCCACCAGCGTCCCCTTCGCTGCAACAGCTACCGCCAATCAGGTTTGGCCCTTTCAATGGCTTTCTTTCACGTGTTCAGATCTCGAGGACCGGGCGAGGGCCGGATCCTGCGCGGGGCCGAGCGCTGTGCTGACCGGCTCGGCTCGGCGCAGGCTCGGGCGCGCAGAGGCAGCGTGTGCGTGCGTGTGTGTCTGGGGATTGGTGCGGGGGCACCGGCCCCACCCCCACCCTGGGTCCTGAAAAAAGGCGCTGTGAAACTCCCGGCCATACTGTCGCGCAAGACCTGCAGCACTTCTGCTTTCAGTCTCAAGTAGAAATACCACCCTGAGCATCCTTCTCCGTGGTATTTTGGCATGTCCTCTCCTGGCTGGAAAGTGGAAGTGGAGACACAAAGCGGTCTCCCCCCACCGCAAGACTGGACTCTAAAAACTACCAAAAAACCCCCAAAACAACCGAAAATCAAAAAATCGGGGGCGAGGCTATGAAGTGTGAAGCTTATTTACACCAGTAGCATGTCACCCATCCCTACAGAAATGACTCTGGATGTGCAGTACGTGCCGTGGTAGCACTGCCATAAGTGTACAGGATTTCATGCATGTCTGCCGAGCCATAACTCTCTCCAGAACTTTCCTCTGAAAATACTGAGTTGTGATGGCTGCTTCCGCACCAGTCCCGAACTGTATACGCACAACCTGTCCTAGTGATGCTTCCTGATAATTCGGTGTGCCACAACTTTTCCCAGTTAGACCAGAGACATTTCAACCCTCCCCCCCTTTTTTTTATCTCCCTCCCCCCAGTACTAATTTTAGCATTTTTATTTGTCATGCTCTCAGGTTTAGAGCTATTGCAAAGAAAACGAGGTGTCACTTTGATCTGTAGGAGGCTGTTAGCCATGCCGAATGTCAGTAATATCTCAGGGGGCATCCTCTAGTCTTTTGCTAGTACAAGGTCATGAGGCTTTCAGAAGTTCTGCCTGCTGAAGTCCTAGGCAGTGTTTTACTGCTCGCAGTAGGGACCGCTAGTCTTTTTCTGTGCTTTGTTGTTATTTTCAGGTAGAGCAGGTCTTATTCATACTGGTATTGGTCATGAAAAGAAGGCAGAAATTCCTGTGCAGCGTTGCTCTGTGGCTGTATGACTCCCGTTTCAGCCAGGTAGTTCCAGGGCATTTCTGTCTTAGGTGTAGTCTGTGGAGTTAAAATCCCAGTACGATCACCACGTACTCCATGAGGCATCAGTAGTGATGCAGCTGCGTTGTACTTAATGTATGGCAAAATAAAGACACTTTGGGAATGGATCCTGTTTTATAAGACACTGATGTACTTACTAACTTGATACTGAAGACAGAATGAGCAGCCCGATCTCAAGACAATGTTTTAATGTGCTGTGTTCTTTGTTTTTTTTGCTGTAGATATCCCAGTTATCAGTAGATGAACTGAGTAGCAGCATGTTTGTTTCACAGATGTAGAAGTTCCCGATAGAACAGTAAGTTCCTTTCCGGTATTTCTTTACGGTGGATTGCTTGGTACAAGGGCATTGCATCCCCCAAGAGGGGGGCTGGCTCGGGCAGAGGGACCGAGCTGGCAGGACCCCAGTGGCTTCAAACTCTGCCAACTCAACAGAAATTCAGCAGCTGCAGCACAGATACGGACCAGCCCGATGGTTTATAACAAGCACTGTTTCCTTTTGTCTAAAATACCTGTTTTACGGTGTTGGCAGCCTCCCTTCTTGCATCCCCCTGAGCCTGACGGCTGTGTTTACAGGTTACTCCTGCTTGCACGGCTCCCAGCTGCCTGCAGACGCCTCAGGGATTTGCGCTATTGATGGCAAAGACCTCTCTGGTAATGAGTCAGCTGAAAAGGTGTAACTTCTCTTTTGCTGTTAGTGGCATCTTTCCGTTCCTGGGGTATGCAGGATTGGGTTGTCATCAGCTGCTGTGCATCCGCAAGGCTGGCTCGGTCTGAGCAGAGATCTGCTGTGCAGCTGCAGTGGGGCCCTGGCTCATGGTGGGTTTCTTCAGAGGCCCTTGTGTGTATTTAAGACGAGGACGAATGCTTCAAACAACATACCCTTCACCCTACCTGCAGATCCCACGCTTCTCTAGGCTGCTAGGTTTCTCTGCGTGGGAATGATGGAGGAGTTTGTCCTTTTCTTTGACTTACAGAGTATTATTTCACAGCCATAGCAGCAGTGTCATTTTTCCGTTGCTTTTCTTTGTGAGTGTTAGCTGATGTTCATGAGAGGAAATCCCTTGAGGGTTTCAGTTGATCACTGTATTTTTTTATCCCAAGAAAGTAAAGAGCAGTTCAGCCAATTTTACAAGAGGTCGCCAGATTTTCCCAATGCAGGCCATTTAGCATAGGCAGATATGCAACCCGTTTCTTCCTTAGGTCGCATATTACAGGCAAGTAATACGTAATGCTGGAAGTAATGCAGGTAATGCTGGGGATGAATTTGGTAAGCAGTTCTCTAATAATATCTTTAGTAGAAGTTACTCATGTTGGTGGTGGCCCTTATCTCTGCTGACCTAAATAAGCTCCTATATCTATAAATGCCCCACTAACTGTGGCCGTGGACCCCTGTTAGTCTAGGGGTGAACGCTGATCTATCCCCACTAGTGAAAATGTCCTGCGTTACGTGGCGTACTGCTCTCCCAAACAACAGACAGACACACGTGACACCTCACATGTTAACCCATTTCCATAACACACGCTAAACAGCCTCTTCCACCTGATAAGGAGATCATTTGCATTGGAAGAGCTTCATTCTTGAGCTCCTTGAGATTGTTTTCAGCATTTCTTTCAGAAAACTTCCTTTTTCTGGATTCTTTTCACTTTTATGTGTGTGTGTGCTTGAACGCACACTGTCAATAGTGATTTCAGACTAGGCGAGGAACTTCCATGGAATGTATTTCGTAAGTAAATCGGCAGCGCAGCACGGTCTGTCCAAAAAAGTATCAGCCGTGCTTTTAAGGACCATGAAAAAACCTTTGCTTGAAAGAAGTAGGGTCAGCATTCTGAATGCGATGGGATTTCCTGGGGATTAGGCTACTGGGTACAGCGAGGGTTCGGGTCAGGCATGGAGCAGCTTCTTCATGAGGGCAGCGTGAGCACGTGCGTGAGCCACCACTCTGCCAGAAGCCCTTGTGCTCTTTACACCTCACAGCTATGGGACGTAAACCGCCTTCAGAGGCTTGGTAGAGAAGGGCTGTGTCCCCTGATGTCCCCAGTGCCCACCGACACACCAGCGACCGTGTCCATGCAGCAGCGTGCGTGTGTTGATCCCATTCCTGGGTTGTTAGCCCCCGTGTCTGTTCGTAAACTGAAGGCGAGCAAATCTCGTGAGGATGCGTTGTTTCATGCCACCACCCGAGCATATGGAATTGTGCATGTGCTCAAGTGTTTTGCCACATAAGGGCCTTGGTTGGCACTCTGCAGTGCTGAGGGGCAATTCCCAAAGCTGCCCCGAGTGGGAGTCGGGTAATTGAAACACTTGCTGCTCTGACAGATGTTTTTCTTTTCCTCCGTGGTTGACGGGGTCCTGGTAGCCAGGCTGACTAGCCTAGCTCTGCAGGAGACAAGTGTTGGGTTTTCAGGGCAGGAGTTTCATGAGTACTTCACAAGGGAGGCAGTTTGCTCCCAGAACAGGGTACCCTGAGCGCAGGGTTTCTGTGTCTGCATTACGTCTCTGGGCCCAGTTTGCCTTTGGCTCGCAGCTCCTTGGGATCAGATTTTATTGTGGCTGGCTGTGGCTCCCTCCAAAGGAACCAGGAGCTAACAGGGGTCAGGGATTACTTTGGCCCTCTCCTTAGTCACTCCCTACCTGCCATCCTGTCCAAAAATAAGACTGTTATTCGCCCGCCTCCCTCTTTCACCAGCTGTCTTGTCGGCGTGTGTGAAGCGCACTGGAAATGGAAAGTGCAGATTAAAGAGGATGCCAAGTCCGTTACTAGCAATTTCACCCTACACCAGAAAATTAAGGGGACAAAATGTTTGCTCTCTGCAACATACTAATGGCAACCTCTCGGGCAGCGCCGTGAGGATGTAAATGTATGTTATTAGAATGACTTTTATTAAAATAGAGGTTTATCTGTCTCTTAACTTCTCACTCTTCCTTTGTTGTTGTTTTTCTCTTTCCCCTGCAGCAGACCATGTTGAAATTCTGAACAGTAAAATTATGGAGCACCAGGACTTCTTGGTGGGAAGCTGCGCATGGCCTTTCTGTATATATCCCCTCTTCCCTCTATCGTTCTCTACCACCTCTACAGTAAGCCTGTTGCAGCCTACATGTTAACCAAAAACTGATCAATGGGAATGTCAAAAAAAAAAACACTATAGAAACAATTAACAAACAGCGCTCTGTTATATGAGATATACAAGTAGAGAATTATAATAGACTTTTATAACACATTACTTTAACACACTTAATCATTTTATGACTACCAATCCTGATAAGTGCATCTGCACAGCGGACTGTTGGTTTACTGTATACTATCGATGGATAAATGTTTGTCTTGTTTTTAAAGTGTTATCTTACTGTTTTGTTTACATCATAGTCTATTGATTTGTTTTAAAGTGTACATCATTATCAAGTATACTCAATACCATTTTTTCATTATTGTTATGTCTTAAGTTTTCATATAATGTAGGTTTTAATGGGTTTTTGTTTGTTTTTTACTAAAAATGTTATTGTGGGAAACAGGAATTATGTGCTTGAAAATCACGACACAGGAATGTTCTGCCCTTTGCTGGATTTTGCTGTTAATGTCAGCTAAAGTTGCTTGTGTTAAGTGCTCCATTTGTCATTTAGAATTTGCCTTCACATAGAGTCTCCAAATTTTTAGTACAAGTGATACGAAAGGACTGCTGTCATTTTAGTCCAGTTCAGGGTATTTCCTTCAATACAATGAACTGATTCTGGAAACTTTTGGAAAAAAACCCCACAAAAGCCCAGGCTCAGTAAGGGGACAGGAGTGATTTACTCAGACCGTGGTAAGCATCGAGGGATTTCTGCAGTTCTGTTGTCCATTGAAGTGCATTCTCAGCTGCAAACGGCGCACAATCTCTCTTGCTGTTCTCATGGTGCAGTCAAAACGACAACAACAAAAATATAGGTGGTGAAATGAGACAGTTTCAGTTGGGCACAGACTCATTGCGTTGGAGAGGAGTGAATGGCAGTCGTTAGCTGGAGTGGGCCCATAGCCGTGACTTAGCCCGAGCTGGGTAACACCGTGCCCAGGGGCTTGGCTCCACTAAGTGTGCTGAAACATTTCGGCCTGAAATCTTACGTGGCTCTTCATGAAGTTTTGTCAGCTTGCACCGATTATTTAATCATCTGTTTCCATAAGTGGGTGATTTTTTTTCCCCCGTGATCTCTGGCCCTTTAAAGCAAACACAGCAGTAACAAAGCAGGAAAAAGCTCAGCATAAGCTTTCTACCGTAGGTAAACACTCATCTTAATGGAGCTCCTGTGGGTCAGTGGATATATTTTGGCACCTTCTACTTGATCAAGAGCAATGTTTGCTGCACAACAAGGGCTAGTTCTCAATACCTCCTTTTCATACGCACGAATGAAACGATTTCCAGCCCGTGCAGCCTGGACAGCCCAGCCTGTCGTTGTGCTGCGTTGCTGAACAGTGTGGCTGCAGAATGCGTTTTGGTTGAGGATACATCCAAATTCGTCCACATCATAGCTCTACAGTATCATTGGCATTACGGAAGAGATGGATTTGCTGCTGTAAGTCCATTCCATACAAGGAGAAAGCGAAAGAGAATCATTACTGAAACCAAGCGAGAGGCCAGCTCCCAGTGCGTGGAGCGCCGGCCACCCTGAGCTCACTGTGGTCCTGTAGGGTGCCAAAGTCTGACAACCAGGTTTTCTTTTCTTTTCCAAGTTCCTTAGCCTTGGTTAGACATGTCCTTTGCTCCCTCTCCTCCCATGTGAGTGCAGATAGTTCGCTAGACGTGTATCTCCACAGCCCGCAGGCAATGGAGGGGCATCTAGGGCACAGCCAGCGCGTCCCAGAGCAGGCTCTGACCGTCTGCCCGTGGAGACTGATTCAGAGCACGAACCTTTGACGAGCCCAGCTCAGAAAGGCCTTGAGCCGGAAGGAATCTCTCCATTCACTTCAGCAGGCTTTGAACCAAACCCTGAGAGAAGGGAGGAAACATCCCCCTCCGAGACCCTCCTTTATGAACCCCGTGTTCTGACAGTCGCTCGTGTCCATAGATGTTCCCCAGCTGTCAGCGTTCACAAGCAGCAGCGTTCCCTGAAATCAGTGACTCTCATTTATATTGGCGACCGCATACCTGTCCTTTTCACCACTGAGTTTCTGTTTCCCAAAACCATAACATTGTTAGTGGAAAAAGTGGATTTGAGTACTTCCTGTTTGAAATTATTTGTGTATCAAAAATGGGTTTTGCACAACCTGTGCCAGTGCCTCAACAAAGAACAGAGCTGATCTTCTTAAGCCAGAAAGGATGCATTCAAGCTTGTATGGCTTTATGAGTTCGAGGAGGTTGGAATTTTTTCAGTGCTAAATGGATTTTTGTATATCTTGACACTTTGATGTAACCTCCTATTTTATTTATCGACTTAAACATCTGGCATAGATGTGCATAGAATGTAAACCTAGAACACAGCTGTTTTCATGTCACATTTAAAGCACTGAAAAAAAAAAGCGTTTAAGGATTATTTTTTATTAAAGAGGTTCAATGAGGGATGTTCAGGGTAGTTATATTAGGTGCCACAACAGTTTTTATATTGCTGGCAAATTTAGAGTTAATTTGTAAATGAGTTTAAGGAAAGAAAAGCTTGAAGCACTAAACTTCACCAAATTCAAAACAATCTCGGCAAAAATGCCATTTTGAGGTAGCACTATTTAAACTAGTTGTGCAATGACTTGCTCTAATTTTCTTTGTTCAAGAAAGAAAAGAAAAAAAAAAAGTCGCCAGACTATAAATTTCCTAAATAGACTATTACAAAGTCACCGAGCTAGTTAGTGACTCTAAATAAATGTCATAAAAGCATGAATATCATCCTTTATTTGACAAGAGATGTATGTAAGTTTGTTTAAATCGATATAATTTTAGTGACATTTTTATAAGCTTCCCACTTTCCATGAACCTATATTTTTTATTTATCCAAAGTTATTTCTCTTTGTCCATTTCTCTCAGCCTTATGCAAACAATATGCAAGAAATGCTGAAACTTGGATAAAACGGGTCATGCAGAGGGAAAATGAAAGCTGAGATTGATCATTTTCACGAAAAAAGGTTGTTAGTAGTTTCAATAAGAAGTACTACTACTAAACTGTAACATAAGCAGACAATAAAAGAGGGATTTAAAATAAAATGGATTCATAAAACTATTAAGATTATTTTTGTTAAATACAGTGTTTTTAGTAAATTGGAACATGATTTCACAATCAGCCGTGTTTTTTTAGTTGGAAATTTCTAGCTGATGATTCTTGACTGTGTATTTCTGCTTCGCGATGTTCTAGAAATCGTTACCTCCCTGGCCAGCCCGCGCCGGCCCCCTTCCCGAACACCCCGCAGCGCCGCTCCTCTCTGCCACCCGTCCCT